AATAGGGGAGAGTTGGCAAAAAAAAAAAAAATCTTATTCCTATATAGGAAAAAGGCGGTGTGTAAGGGACTACTAGTAGTATAACTTCACCTTGACTATGTAGGAGGAAGGGAAGGGAACTAATATTTTGGATCAGCATATATTCTGTGCCAGTTACTATACATTTAGTTTCTTAGTTAAACATCACAACTTTATGATCCAAGCTTCTCTCTCTCTCAGAGAGAGAGAGAGAGAGAGAGAGAGAGACAGAGAGAGAGACCTAGGATTTAACCCAGGGACTATCCATGCTAGGAAAGCCCTCTATCACTGAGCTACAGCTCCAGTCCCACCCTTTCATATTTTCATTAGTGCATTATAGTTATACATAATATTGGGGTTCATTTTGACATAATTGTTCAAGCATGGAATATAATTTGCTCCAATTGAGTTTCCAGTACTTCCCTTTCCCTCTTTTCCTCCCACCCTCTATTCCCTTTCCTCAATTCTGTTGGTCTTCCTTCTATTTATAGTTTTTTAAAAAAATTAGTGCTTTATAGATGTACATAAAGGTGAAATTCACTGTGGTATATTGGTAGTTTGGACAATTTCATTTTACCTTTCCTCCCATTTCCCATCCCTCCTCCCTCCCCTTCAATTCCCTTTCTCTTCTCCACTGATTTCTCTGTCCTATTTTCATAGGATTCCCCCTCACACATTTTTTATTTTTTATTTTGGTCTAGCTTCCATTACACCTATTAGAAAAAAAATTCAACCCTAGACTTTCTGAGTCTGGCTTATTTCATTTAGCATCATGATCTCCGATTCTATCCATTTACCATCAAGTGCCATAATTTCATTCTTCTTAATAGCTAGATAAAATTCCATGTGTCACATTTTCTTTTTCCATTCATCTGTTGACAGGTATCTGGGCTAATTCCATAACTTGGCTATTGTGAATTGCATTTCTGTAAACATTGATGTGGGCATATCATTAGAGTATGCTGATTTTAGTTCTTTAGGTAAATACTGAGGAGTGGGGTAGCTGGGTCATATGGTAGTTCCATTCCTAGTTTTTTTGAGAAATCCCCATATTGCTTCCCAGAGTGGTTTTACTGATTTGTAGTCCCACCAACAATGTATGCATGTATCTTTCCCCTCACAGATAGTCTCACTCAGTTCCTCAGTCTGGCTTCAAACTTAGGATCCTCCTGCCTCAGCCTCTAAGTAGCTGGGATTACATGTATACAGGTGTACATCACCGAACATATTTGTTATTTTTTTTCTGAAGAGTCGAGACTCCTAAGTAACTTGTCTGATGTCATCTACTATTGAAAGTGGATTTGGGTGTGTGGGGGAGGTTTGTGTGTGTGTGTGTGTGTGTGTGTGTGTGTGTGCGCGCGCGCGCACATGTGTGCTTCGTGCTGAGAATCAAACTAAGATCCTTGTTTACGCAACACAAGTGCTCTACCATTGAGACACATCCCCAGCCTGAAACTGGAATTTCAATTCAGATTTGTCTTAATATTATGCTGTCAGCTTTTATCAAGGATTGATTTAAAAACTACTTTTAAACAGCCAGGTATAGTGGCACATCCTGTAATCTCAGCAGCTCAGGAGGCTGAGACAGGATTGAAAGTTCAAAGTCAGCCTCGGCATCAGCGAGGGGCTAAGCAACTCAGTGAGAACCTGTCTCTAAATAAAATAAAAAATAGGGCTGAGGATGTGGCTCAGTGGTCAAGTTTTCCTAAATTCAATCCCCGGTACCAAAAACAAACAAACAAACTACTTTTAAACAATGAGAATGTGTCCAACATGAAATTTAGCTCTAAGAATTAAGACAAATCTGACTTCACCTTCAAAAGAGGAATTCAATGAGAATGTGTATAAATTATATAAGCAATAACATAGATCAATCTCATAAACATAACGTTGAGTGAAAAAAACATGTATAAAACAGTACATCCTATATTAAGCTTTCTATAAAATGCAAAACGGGCTGGGATTGTGGCTCAGGGATAGAGCGCTTGCTTAGCACATGAGAGGTGCTAGGTTCAATCCTCAGCACCACATAAAAATAAATAAAGGCATTGTGTCCAGCTACAACTAAAAAAAAAAATGCAAAACAGACAAAACACATCTGTGTTTTGTTGAAGTTCTTAACAGCTTTTGTAGAAATTATAATAGTGATATCTTTTATAGGAAGAAACAATGGGGTACTCACAAGAGGGAAGCATAAGAGGAATCTAGGATACTACTGTTGTTTTCTTCTTGATCTGGGTGCTAGTAATATAAATGTGCTTCTTTGTGAAAAGTAATTGAGCCATATACTTATTTGTGTACTTTTTTTTATATATGCTATACTTAACAAATTGTTAAAAGATGTTTGTATCCTATGTGAATCTGTTACTAAAGGCACATTTTTAGTGCGTTTTTTTCATAAAGATCCATATAATAAATTCCTCTTTTGAAGGTGCAGTCAGATTTGTCTTAATTCTTAGAGCTAAATTTCATATCCAGTTGTACTTTTTAAATTCTTTTTTCAGAAGCTTATGAAATATTAATAAATGAATTGAATGAATAGCCTTAGTTACTTCAATTTTTTTCTCTTTATTTTTCAAATTTTTTGGTATACAATTTTAAGGTAGTATTTCAATTATATAGCTATTCTTGTCAAACTCCTTTTTGAAAATATTCTCTTAAATTTATTTAATTTTCGTTTTCAGTCTCCATTTTAATAGTAGCCAGTAGACAAAATACACCTCCTTATAGACAAAAACTTTTTGGTTTAAATTGTCTTTATATTCAGAAGTTGAGGTTGTTGGAATATCATTTTTCAAATCCTTCAGTGAAATCTTTCTTCATTTCTTCCGTCTAATTCAGTAATCTCAACTTCTCTTAAGTCAAACAGTGATTTGTGCTGTTCTTAAAGCATTTATAGTTTGCTATAATATAGTATTTTTAATATTTTTTATTGCTCCCAATTGTATTTTTTTATTAATGCAAAAAATTAAAGGCAAAAAATGTACTATAAATCTGATAAACAACAGAATGCAGGTGATATTCAATAGCATGATTTAAAAATATAATGACATCTGAAATTATACTTACTTTAGTTGACATGAATTGCATCATATATAGAAAAATTATCATCTTCAATTTAAAAAAAAAAGTAAAGGTTGAAAGATGGCATACTTTTAAAATGCTTGATGGGCAAGGTAAGATATATGGTAGAAGTTGTAAACCATGTGTATGTTCTCATCACTTCAAATGTGAGGCCACATGAAAGACGGTACATCTGTTAAATTCCATAATCTGTTAATGAAAAAAAGGAGGGAAGGCTTCAACACCCCATCCCCCAGTATTCTCAATATTAAAAGCATAGATGAAGTATTAGGATTTGAAATCTGATACTGCCCAGGTACTATGAGAACCTAGAGCTTAGAGATTGTTATTTTTCTATACCTCTCCTAATATTAAGTGTATTAGTCAGTTTTCTGTCACTGTGACAAAAATCTACTTACAAGTAGGAAAGACTTATTTTGGCTTGTAGGTTGAAAGGTTTCAGTCCATGGTCAGCTGTATTCATTGTATTTAGGCCTGTGGCAAGGCAGAACATCATGGCAGGGAGCACATGGCAGATCCAAGCTCCTCAGCTCATGGTCGGGGGAAGGGGCCAGGAATAAGATGTAACCTTTAAGGGAACACTCCCAAAGACCTACTTCCTCTAACTAGGCCTCATTTCCTAATTTTCATCCATCAACCAGCATTAATTATTGTTCATTCGTCATACATTTACCATGGGTCTTTGATAGAATTAGATCCATCATGATCCAGTCATCTTCCAAAGGTGCCACCTCTGAACCCTTTTTGCTTTGGGAATCAAGCCTTCAACACTTGAGCTTTTGGGGAACATTTCAAATTCAAACCCTAAGTATTGTGATCATAGTCCACTTGACAGATTCAGATAGTCAATCTGAATTGCCTTGTGTTTTTCCTGGAGTGCTATTTCATAACTTAATGTTGCTTGTATAATTTTCTCCATAAAGCAGAGATCTTCAATATACATTTTCATTTTTAAAATATATTTTTAGTTGATGATAGACCTTTATTTTATTTTTAAGTGGTGCTGAGAATTGAACCCGGTGCCTTACACATGCTAGACAAGTGCTCGACCACTGAACTACAACGTACCTAACCCCATATTTTATTTTTGACCACTTTTTATTAAGATTCAATCCCAGTTCTATAACTGTGACTCTATAGTATTTACCCTATACCAATCATAATTTTTGTTTGGGACAGAAGAAATATACAGAACAAAAACATTCTAAGCTAAATATTTTTTAACACTTTGAGGAACTACTGTTTGCTACAAGAAAATGAACAGAGTTTTTTTTTTCTTTTATGAAGAAGAACATACAGATATGATTGTGGAATTAAATGTGGAGATACTCTAGATTGCTTTGAATAAGTTTCTCTCGTATTCCACTGACCCTGGGTTCATTTCCCACCCTACCTTTCTTTCTGTTTTTCTTTTATAAAAAATTCTTTCCTACCAGTATCAGGAATTGATCCATCTTGACATAGCCCTTCTCTTTTAGGCCCCTTAAATACTACTAGTCTTAAAGGGAATATGTATGGAATGGGATTTGTGGGAATGGCTGTCAATAAATAGCAATGTACTATTTGCCTCTTTATGTATGTGCGGTATTTTTGTTTTAAAGATCCAGTGATTTACTTCTAGGTGTTTGATTTTTTTTTTTATATAGGGACATTTTTGTTGTTGTTATATATTAGAGAAGACTGTGGTTCTACTTTAGTGTGTGAATCTTGCAATTGCTGCAGTAACTTGAAGTAATTATCTTCACTATGTCATTATAATAAAGTCTTGTTTCCTGGGAGGAAATTGAGAGCCTCCTCTTTTTATTTTGTGTATCTTTGTTTACCATATCAGTATCATGTAGCAATAATTATGTTACTAACAACAATTTTGTGAGATGTTTATTATTCTCATTTTACAGATGAGGAAACTGAGGCTTGGTGAAGTTATGAAACTTGTCCAAAGTTACACAGCTTGTAAAGGGCACAGCCAAGATTCAGAGCCAGGTCTGTCCAGCTTCAAAACTATTCATCATAGCCATGACACTTTGAAATAGCTGTGAAGTATCAACTTATGATAAATTGTTTTAGTATTATATTGCCTGTTACTTAACTCTTAACTAATTTCTAATGGAGAGGTTTTTTTTGTCCTTCATAATTTCCTTTATCATTTTAAATATATTGTGAAAAGCAGCATAATGTAGTAACTAAGGGTTTGGGCTCTGGAGACAGACTACCTGGGTATGAATCTCCAAGATTTTCCACTTATTATGTGATATTGGAAAAGTAATTTAACTTTTTATACCTCAGTTTTCCTATCTGTAAAATGATGACAGTGTACCTGATAGGATTGTTGTGAAAATGACATGGTTTAATATGAATCAGCACTTATAGAGGAGTGCCTGGTGCATAGCAGTCATTCAATGTATGTCAACTATAAATATTGTCATCTTTGGGTAACTCTAAAGCAAATGATTATTATTTATAATTCCTTTAGGAAATTTAGGTAGAGCAAAGTTTAGGCAACAATGTAGAATATCACAAAAATTATAAACCAAAATTAAAATTAGATCTAAAGAAAATCACTCATTTTGTCAAGTTTAGATCGGTTGTAAAGCAAATTGGATACCTGCTTATAGGTTTTACATATACAAGAGTCAAACATATATAAAGACCAAACATAAGTCCACTAGAGACATTTTTTGAGCCTAATAGAATCATTGTATTATTAATGCATTTTGCCTGTTTTCCCCTGAGAGTACAATTTCAGAGTAAATTTCTACATTTTCAGGTGACTTTTAAGGAGATGATGTTTTAACATGTTGACAGATCATTACTAAGAATCAAACCTTACATGTTCTGTAAAATGTTGGCAACATTCCATCACTGGTGGGAGTGGTTATCCGAATTTATGGTATAGTGAATGTACATGACTGACCTTCCAACCAGTAGAACCACAGTCATTCAACTAGAACCCATCCATACTTGTTTGTTGCAGTTGTTAGAATTCTAAAGTGCTGTTTCAACTTTTACTACAAATTAATTAAAATGCCTATGAGTAGTGATTATTGTACCTATGATTAGTTGCTGAACTATCCTGAATGGGAGGTAATTTGAGTCAAATTTGCAAAAATTCACAAGCTATTGAAGAATGGGATTTGTCTTTTATATGTGTATGATCTCTAGCTTTTAATCTATGCATACATTTAATTTATTCCCTTATTTTATGGCATTAAACCTTATTGTTCTTGATCATAGTATATCTTTCTCATTATTTAGATATTTTAAGATACCTTTCAGTAATCTTAAATTTAATTATTAGTTATCTTATTGTTAATGTTGTATATATTTTTTCTTTACAATTTCTATTTGCTCATATAAGCTTTTTTAAAAAATTGAAAAGGTTTATGCTCAGTCATCTTCCTAAATTGTTTATTCTAATAATTGATCTATGAATGGTTTTGGGTTTTCTATGTAGTCAATTAAACTATTGTGAATGAAAATTCTTTCTAGTGCTTATCCATTTAATTTTTTTCTTGTCTTCCCGCACTAGTTAGGACTTCTAATAACTCAGTACAACTTTTAATAGTTGGGATCTTTATGTTGCTCTTAATTTTTTTTTAAAGGAAATGTGTCTTAGGTTTCACCATTAACAATAGTGTTACAGAGCTAGGTATGATGACATGTACCTGTAGTCCCAATATTCAGGAGGCTGAGGCATGAGAATCACTTGGGCCCATGAGTTTGAGACCAGCTTAGAAAACAGAAACTATCTATCTACCCATCCACCCATATGTCTGTCTGTCTCTCATTCACAAACACGTGCGTGCGTGCACACGTGCGTGTACATACACACAATATTGAACCTGGGGCCTTATGCATGCCAAGCACATACTCTGTAGTTGAGCTACACCCCAGTCACATCCTGTAGATTTTTTTTAAAAATTATACCCTTTAAAGACATTTCTATTCCTAGTTGGCTAAGATATTTTTTGTGTGTGAAGAATGAGTATTGAATTTCATTAGATGCCTTTTGTGCATTTGAGATGATCATGTGGTTTTCCTCCTTTCTTCTGTTAATGTGGTAAATGGCATTTATAATTTTCTAATGTTAAATTACTGTTGTATCACTGGAATAAACCCATCTATGTCATGATAGTGTTTTTCATATACAATTGGATTTGGTCTTTTAATCATTTGTATGAGATTTTTACATCTATGGTCATAGGTGAAATTAGCCCATAATTTTTGTTTCTTTTATTGTCCTTACGTAGTTTAGATATCCAGACCAGATTATGCCAACTTCACAGATTGAGTTGGGGACTATCTTCCCCACCTTTAAAGGATTTATGTAAGACTGGAATGATCTGTTTCTTAAAAGTTTGGTTACACTTGTACTCAACTTCCTGGGCTTAGTATTTGGGGTGTGGGGTAGGGTTAATATTTTTAGAGGGGGGGAAGAGGCTATGTTAAATTTTCTAAATGGTTTTATTGAGGGTCAGTTTTTAGAAAGTTTCTCTTTTTTCAGGAATTCACTTATTTTGTCTGAGATTTTCAAGTATTTGGCATAAAGTTAATCAAAGAATTTTATTACTGTTAAATTTCTTTAAAAAATTTTGCTGTTTATATGTTTCTGTCTTTGACTCCTAAAATTTGTTTTGCACCTTCTTTTTTTCTTCATCATTCTTGCTGGAGGATATATGGTTTTAGCTTTTCCAAAGAATCAGTGCTTGAGTTTGGTTTTCTGTATTTTATGTTTTCTATTTAATTAATTTCTGGCCTTTCTACTTTATATACATTTTTATAGTAACAAGCAGAATTTAAGATAAGGACACAGAGATATCTGTAACTTCCCAAGGACAGAATGTTATTAGGTTCCAGGAATAGCTTGAACCAGGGGTCTAAAATGCTTTTAGGAACTTGCCTCATTCTTTCTTTTATAGGTCTGCTTTATAGGTCTTTCTCCCTTTCTGTCAATTGACTTTCTGCTCTTCAGTCTATGGGGTAGAAAACAATGATCACGAGCCTCTGAATTTGATGTCAATTCTAAACTTTTGTTTTGATTACTCTTAGTATCTTAGATTTTTCTGTTTGGATTACTTTCTTCCTGAATATTTTTTTTCTTAAAGGTGTGTGTGTGTGTGTGTGTGTGTGTGTGTGTGTGTGTGTGTGTGTGAGAGAGAGAGAGAGAGAGAGACAGACAGACAGACAGACAGACAGACAGACTTTTACTGGGAATCAAACCCAGGGCCTCAGGCATAGTAGATAAGCACTGTACCATCAAGCAGTATCCCTAGCCCTAGAGGTCTCTTAATGAGATTTTCTGTAGTAAACTCTTTTTTAAAAAAAAAAATATTTATTTTTTAGTTGTAGTTGTACACAATACCCTTATTTTACTTATTTATTTTTATGTGGTACTGAGGATCGAACCCAGGGCCTCACACGTGCTAGTCAGGCTCTCTACCACTGAGCCACAACCCTAGCCCTCTGTAGTAAACTCTTAAAGTTTTATATCTGAAAGTAGTTTTATCACCCTCATTTTTGATAGATATTTAATTATATATAGAATATGAATTGGCAATATGTTGTATCCCCCTGAATAATTCCACACTTTTTCTGGTTTTAATTGTTACTATAGACAAATTAGCTGTCCAATTAGTTGTTCTTTCAGGCCTGTCCTTTTTGTGTCCGGTTGCTTATGGAGGCCTCTGTGTGTTTTGGTTTTCTATGTTTCATAAACTGTGTGTAGATATGGCGTGCTGTTTGGTTTTTACCCTGTATGAGATTATGATTATAAACTTTTTATTTTCTCTGCAAGAAGTCTTTGTGGGTATTCTTGGGGGCTCAAGATGGAAATGTATTACATCAAGATGATTTGCCTTTGTTTTTTCCAGGTGCCTCAAAGTACTTTGGTGAAACTTTAAATTTATTCCTTGAAGCATTTTAGACTACCAAGTGAAGTATATTCGAGTTGCAAATATGTACATGGACTTGCTTATGTTTACAATCTCTTAGAAATCTTTCTTCTGTTCAGCAACAAGAAGGCAACTTTCCTGTAGTCCTTTAGTTAGGTGTGGGGTTGGGATAGAATGGTTCACTCTTTTCCAGCGGATGAAACTTTTGGGTGGGGGGAAGCAGTAAGGTTCCAGCTTTATGTGGAAGGAATCTTTATGTGGAAAGATTGCCCATGGTAGGTGGGCCATGAACTTTTTTTTTTTTT